AATGTCTGACGGTAGAAGGTTAAGAAGATCGAGGGAAAGAGAAGGAGAACAGAAAATGATTAGTGTGGAAACGAAAGAACAATGAAGTCTGAGAAGACTGATTGACTTTTGGTATAAGAAACAGTCAAGTTTAAGACAACCGATTCACAATTTGCAAATGAAGTTTTTTACTGTATGGTTCAGAGGTTTTACTAAGATTTTCATAATTTCGTATTCAAAAGATTCAATTGTTCCCATTTGAGTTCTCGCTTACTACATTAGTAGTTCACGGAATAATAGACAGACTAATCAAACGGTAATTTTAAAATATCGATTCATGAACATGATTTTCTTACTTCATTATCTTTTAATTCCAATTCTCTAACTTTCCAGTGAATTTATTAATATAAAATTTTGTAGGTGATAATGAATTTTCAATATAATTATTTAAATGGTTGAGATCATGAGTCAATTGAATCTAGACCAGTATGGTAAACCAGTGGAGTTCAACCGGGTCAGTTGTGAGATAGTAACTCACTGAAGACAATGGTCAATGTGTTGCTAAATTTCATGGATTGGTTTAAGTTAGGCATTAACATTGTTGGATGCCGGTTCAGTGGTCTAGTGGTTAAGCGCTCACGTACGAGACTGATAAGTCCTGGATTCGAATCTCGTGAGGTGGGATCGTGTATGTGCACTGTTGATGAGTCTCACAATAGAACGGAACGGCTGTCCAGTGCTTCCGTGTTTTCCATCGTAGTCTAGCTTCAGTTGACTCATGATCTCAACAATTGAGAATACTAAAATATCCACAAAACTCCTTCTGATATTAAAATTATTTAAATCTATATCAATTATTTAAAAAGGAAACTGTAGCTTAAATATATTTACACTCCAAATGATAAACTTATGTAGAAAGATTTCTATACAATTAAAGTCGAAAGATTGATAATAAACCTTAAGATAATAATAATAAAATTCTTTGAACTACAAAATTCTAACAGGTCTCATTAATTTTATGGATATTTTATAGTGATTGGATGAAAAATGGCCTTAAATTCCAACAATCGTTATTAGCAAGTTCATATATTGTTATTACTACCACTACTACTACTACTACTACTACTACTACTACTACTACTACTACTACTACTACTACTACTACTACTACTACTACTACTACTACTACTACTACTACTACTACTACTACTACTACTACTACTACTACTACTACTACTACTACTACTACTACTACTACTACTACTACTACTACTACTACTACTACTACTACTACTACTACTACTACTACTACTACTACTACTACTACTACTACTACTACTACTACTACTACTACTACTACTACTACTACTACTACTACTACTACTACTACTACTACTACTACTACTACTACTACTACTACTACTACTACTACTACTACTACTACTACTACTACTACTACTACTACTACTACTACTACTACTACTACTACTACTACTACTACTACTACTACTACTACTACTACTACTACTACTACTACTACTACTACTACTACTACTACTACTACTACTACTACTACTACTACTACTACTACACCTTATGAATTAGAGTATGTCGGGGATGAATGAAATTGTGTAACTTAATCAAATGAATAAACAAGCTTTTAGTATCTAGTATAATCCGATCAATTAATTAGACCTATATCATTTTTTGATTACTAAAAGTAATTTGATTTAGTCCAAGGACATATTTTGCTGAATAAACGTCACGTTATAATTACGTAATCTCGAAGTTATATAATTATGCTGCTGAGACAAACAGAAACTATATGTCATGCATATTACAATAAATATTCCTTTGAATTTCTTAATAGGTTCTGGTTGTATGAAGTTACTATGATATTGACTAAGGTATTTAATTCTAATTTTTATAAAGTTAGTAAATAATGTAGTTATCATATAGGACGATACCATTAATAAGTAGCACAAGGAGCTCATGTTTGAAGTTAAGAATAAATGTCATCTTTGTTTTTATATTTATGATTAAGTGAATCATGACAGCTGTTATCGAAACTACAGATTTATTTAACAGTATCACATAACTCAGAAATTCATTTGCAATTTTATGAAAGGCTAGTTTCAGATTAGATTCAGATTTGTGTAGTAAGGACAGAAGGCCTACGGCCTATGTTATTCCTTTTCTAGTATGCTTCTGTGAGTGTCCAATTTTCTCTTGAAAGAGTCAATTGAAGGTGCGGACACCACTGCTTTGAGCAGCAGGTTCCAAGTATTGATGATTCGGTGTGAAAACCTGTATGCCACGGATATTTTGTTCGTTGTTCGCTTTTCTACTCGCGTGCTATGTCCTCTGAGATATCCCGATCTAGTGAGAAAAAAAAGAGAGAATAAGTTAGGTCCAAAATCATTTCTCAGTATTCTGTACATCAAAATTAGATCTACCCTTAATCTGTAATAGGATGGAGTAAAGAGGTTCAGCTTTTCAAGCCGCTCTTTGTGACTTTCGTATAGATAACAAAACTGAATGTTACATCAGAACACCAGTAATTGGACATCTCAGAGTGATATTTTAAGGAGAGGAAATTCGATCATCAATAAAATACATATTAGCTCATTTAGTGGTAATATGAAAACTAATAGTGTGCTTTGTTTATTTAAGGAGTCCGCGAATTTCAGGTTTTTGAATATATATTGCCAATTTTTACTCGGATTCATCTAACTAGTGACGCTTTTAAAAAGTAGCAATCACGTACTATAGGTATATAGTCACATTTACAGAAAGTGTTAGTCGAGTGAGTAATAGTAATTTATGCATTATATGAAATTGAAATTTCTGGATCTGTCCGATGCGTACTGTAGTTCCTGGATTTTGAAGACAGGGAAAGGTTACGAAGGTAGTATATTATAATTATGAACAAAGAGCGTAGTCGTTTACGAAGTACTCATCATTTCATAGAAAAACCACAGTCGAGGAAAGAGGGAAGTCTATTTAATAGTTCTTTCACTCGCTGAACATACTTATCCTTAAAAAAACTGTCCTAACGGTATACAACCCTAATCATGTTAGACTAATAACCAAGGCAAACTGAAGATACCATGAACCCTTCAGTCTGTAATCTATTTAAAAAAGAGATATTTGAAAGGAAGTCCTGAAATCATGTTTTGTGCTACTTCATACTAGTCTGCAAGGAGTATTTACAGTCTTGAAGAAAATGATGTTACCCGTTGAGATCCAATGAAATCTTTTTATCACTAAGGTCTAGTCAAGAATGGGATTGATTATCTTTCAGTGATGTTATTAGTCGCTATAAATTATTTCTTCCACGAATGTATCAACTCTTAATTTAGATGAGCCGATTATTGACAAATAATGTGTCTTAATATGGGTAATTCAAATGTTAAACAGAATTTGAGCTATCCATTATTGATTTTAACTTCGTGGTAAAGTTAATTAATTATTATTTTAAACTCATAATCCTTGTAACTGTAGATACTTCGTGATGGGACCATGAAAGTGGAATGTCTCACAAGTCTTAGGATGGGATGTCTTCTACTTAATCACTCAAGTTTGATAACTTAAAAAATGAGGTACCATGAGTCATCTTTGTTATTGAAAATCGACAATGTTAGTCTTAAATTAAGTTTTACATATCAAAGCCTACTTGTGGTAACTCATGGATCAAAGAGAAACATTCCAAATTGATTTTTCCTTCAGACAATCAGCGTAACAACGATGCTGCCTTCCCACAAGGAATGTGGTTGCAAAAGGTCGACCCTAAAATGCACACCACGCCTTATCCCACGGATATCCGTCTCCGTCGGTAGGGTCTCAACAAACACAGAACTAACACGAAAATTACCTACAAAAATGTGTGTGACCGGCCTCAAGCAGTTGTCTCTTGGGTACTGCGGTCAAGCTCTCAGGTCACTAAGACTACCTCTAATCCAATTTCCTTTTAAGGTACCTCTAGTAGAACCCTCCCACGGTGTGATCAACCGGGAAGTAATAACCGCCCACATACCTCTAACAGCTCTCAAGAAAACTGTATTCATAATCAACCTCCCTCTTCAGTTCCTATTATTCCTCCTACATCGACTTTCAACTCTAAACTCCCTCTTTTGGCTTCCTCCTCAAGTGTCACCATAGCCACCGATTCTATTGCGCAAAACACTGTCCTACGTCTACTGAAACCTCGCTCCAAACTACACATTGGGGACTTCAACGTACGCACCCTATGTCAAATCGGTCAGCAGGCCTCATTATCTAAAACCCTAGAATCTTGTACCATTGATGCATTCAAATATTACATAATTTACCCTCTTTCTTTTTTAACTTTAATTTTGAAAAAAGTGTACTTTTTCCTGTTTTCAAATATATAAAAACACATTATTATCGTACGATTTTCGATTTAAATTAATAATAATAATAGCGAACTTTTATTTGGTTAAAATTCTTATAAACGTTTTTCAAAAGGACTTATGTGTAACTATTTGATCGGTTATACAAATAACTATTTTCTATAGAATTAAGGTCTAGCCAAAAAAGGAAACGAATGTTAGTTATTCGTTATTGTTTAGTAAAGAATATTATAGTAATGAAATTGTTGAATTTTAATAGTTAGTAGATTTTGTGTCTGAAATGAAAGAATTGCTTAAATTCACAAATTTATCTATCTCCACATTAGTATGTAGTACTGTAGTGTATGCTACTTCTGTCGACAGATATAAGTAGTATGTAATACTAATCAGAAGAGGAATTCATAGCAGTAGAATGCTATGAAGGTTGACTTGTTAAAAAAACGGAAACGAAAATAGAGAGGAATTGTAACTTGGAAGAATTAAACAGAATGTGAACAATAAATAGTGGAATTTTGCAAGTAAAGTATTTAATATATGGTCTACATATTTTACCAAAAGATTCTGTAATTAAGAGGTAAATTGGTTGGTTTCACCTGAGTATATGTTCACTATATTGTTAATAGTGAAATAAGTTAAAGCTGAATTTAAACAACAAGTGATCTGATGATGTCTGTATTTATGAGGTAATTTATATTGATATACATAATCTGATTTATGATTGTGTATCAGTTGTGTCTATATAGATCAATAACTTATTCTACTGTTTTCTATGTAAAACACCTTGTTTATTGAAAATAAACTTTAAAATCAGTACACTTAAAAAAGTGAGATCTTGACAACATCAGAACTGTAATAGTTATTTACTTTTTTTGAAAATTATTTACAAAATGTTGATTTTCAGTGATCAAACATTTACGATTGAAGTGTACGTAGTCATAATAGTTTGTAAAGTAATCATTACCGTTATAGTTTTGACTTTATTTCACTTTTTATATTCAAGTTTTCTGAGAATTTATTTGCAGAATGAAAGAACGGATTTATTGATTGTCATTTATTTCTCAAAACTGTTCATTGAAAATGTCAGAAATGCTAGAAATCTGGAAAAGGATGTCAAATTGCTTGAAAATCATAGTTTTATTGGATTGATTTTGTGAATAGTTTTATTTCGGGGTATTATGCTTCTTCAATTGGTTTCATTTAGATTACCAATGAAAAAACGGGGAGTACAGAATAGTTGTTTTGTTTCAGTATGGGACTCCACAGAATTAACAGGAAAGTCAACTTTTGAAGTTTAAGAATAAAAGTAGTTGATTAGATTCAATGAAGAATGTTCAGACTAAAATTCTTGTAAACTATATATTGAGTTATCAGAATAAATAACTTTTACAAGTAATTATCTAAATACAAATTCCAAAAATTATCCAAAACGTAGTGTAATAGTCTTGAATGAAGATGTTGTAGACAAAAGTGGTGATGAACGCATAGGAATACATTACACTGGAATATAGATAAATCAGGTGACAGTTTGAAAATCAATTATCATTTAGTGTAAGCAACACAGATATATATATATATATATATATATATATATATATATATATATATATAGTTTAACCTCGCAGAATAAAACAGAAATCATACATTTGATAATTATGTGAATTCAAAGTGTTAGTTTGGTTAAAAAGCAAGCCGCTAATCTATTCAAGTGTATTTGAATGAGAGATATAGTCTGGATTTAAGTTCAGTTGAATTCTAATTATATATCAGTGAATTAGTATGATATTTCCAATATGTGAGCTAGCAATTCTGAGAACTAACCAGAGCGTGTTATGATAATCACGACTGTATCAGGAATGAAGACTGAAAAAAACCAATGAACTCGGTTCATTGTAACGTATTGCAATTAAGATAGAGTGGGTGGGTATTTCTAGAAACAATTAATAATTTGTGAAAAAAACTACATTTAAAAATAGGTGGGGTATACAAAGCCGAATATTCGTATTGGATGTTTTGTGATGAAAAAAAAGATGAACGAACCATGCACATCTTAACTAACATGCTTAACTATTCAACAACAAATTTGTCACATGAGTTACATTTTCATGATTGTTTGTGTTGCTCATATAAAATGAGCTTGTTTAAAATGGTTTTATGTGAAGATGAAACAATATTTTACCTAGGTACTATTACTAATTGTGATTAATTTATAGTAAGTTAAATTAACTACGTAAAAATTGTGATTTCTTATTTGT